AGGAAAAGATGAAATGCGAAGAGGACGAATTGCTGTATCGTGGACATATTCTAAACACACTGTCCGATCGACTTTACAACTTATTCACTAAAATGAAGTCGGCCAGATAAATTTGGAATGCGCTTGAATTCAAGTACAAAGCGGAGGAGCAATGTACCAATAAGTATTTGATTACTAAGTATGTTGATTTTAAGTTTATTGATACTAAACCTTTGTCGGAGCAAGTCCATGAACTACAAGTGCTGGTTAACAAAATTCGTGCCCTAAAAATCGAAATTCCAAAAGCCTTTCAAGTTTGAGCAATTATTGCAAAATTGCCTCCAAGTTGGAAAGACTATGGAAAAGGCTTGTGCATAAGCCAGAAGACATATCCTTGGAGCAAATTCAGAAACATCTTCGAATTGAGAAAGAGTCACGTGTACATGACAATTCTATTTTGTTTGATACCAAGGTGAATGCTGTGGAGGGTAATGGATTTCAATCTAAAAACTGTCTGAATTTCAAGGAAAAAAAAAGGGTCGAAATTTAAGAAAACACATAAGAAGATGAAGGGTTCTTGTTTTGTCTATGGTAAATAGGGACACTATGCAAAGGAGTGCAAGCACCGCAAGATGGTCATATCCAAGGACATGAACATTTTGACAGTGAAGGCAGATGCGAATTTGGTTGAAGCGAACTTTGTGGCCACGATTTCAACCAAGTTTTCAAATTTGAGAATTTCTTAAATCAATGATAAGGTAGCCGTGGTTTCTAAAATAAATTTTGCTTCTGTCCAATCCAGTTGGTGGTTAGACTCCGGGGCTACGGTCCATGTGTGCAAGGACAAATATATGTTTAAGCAATTTGAAGAAACTGTCAATACAAATGTTCGAGAGGTCCTGATTGCGAACAACGCTCTTGCAAAGGTTGCTGGCAAAGGCACGGTAGAACTTGATCTTACTTCTGGAAAGAAGATTACTCTTCTTAATGTGTTATATGTACCTAAAATTTGGAATGACCTAGTTTCAATTGATTTTCTTTGTAAGAGGGGGTTTCGGATTTTGTTTGAATTCGACAAGGTTATCTTGTCGAAGAATGGGATGTTTGTGGGGAAGGGTTATGCCAATGACAACATGTATCAACTCAGTATCAATAATATTATTGTATCTTCTACTTATACTATTAAGTCTGCTTCTTTATGGCATAGTAGATTAGCACATATAAATTTTCGCTATTTAATGAATATGAAAAAGTTAGACTTTGTGGGTTGCTGTGCTAGTCTCCCCCGAGGAATAGTCGAGGTGCGCGCAAGCTGGCTCGGACACCTCGGCTACCAAAAAAAAAAATTAGACTTGATTAATTTCAATGGCGAATTAGACAAATGTGAAATATGTGCTAAGGCTAAACTCATAAAGAAATCATTTCCTGGTGTTAATAGAAATTCGAATTTGTTGGATTTGGTGCATAGTGATATATGCGAATTCAATGGCATATTAACTAGTGGTGGTAAAAGGTATTTCATTACTTTTGTGGATGATTGCAGTAGGTATCTATATGTTTATCTCATGAGGTCGAAGGATGAAGCTTTTACCATGTTTAAAAAATATAAGGCTGAAGTAGAAAATCAAATGGAAAGGAAAATTAAAGTTCTACGTTCAGACAGAGGTGGAGAATATTTCTTAAATGATTTTTCTTCATTTTGTGAAGAACATGGTATTATCCATCAAGTTTCCGCACCATACACTCCACAACAAAATGGTATGGCTGAAAGGAAAAATCGATCCCTTGGAGAAATGGTTAATTGTAATCTTTCAAATTCAAAGCTATCAATTAATCTTTGGGGAGAAGCATTGTTTACTGCATGTTCTCGGTAATATGCCAAGCACCCGAATTGGCATATTACCGAGAACCAGACCCCAAGAGGACGAAACTTGGTCCTAGAGCTATCAAAAGTGTTTTCATTGGATATGCTGAAAATAGTAAAGCTTATAGACTTTTTTATTTAGAGTCCAATGTCATTGTGGAATCAAAAGATGTTGAATTCTTTGAGAATAAATGTTTTACGGGTTCTGAAATTATTAAAAATAATTCAAAACCTATAGAAACCCAAGTAGATTCTCATGAGAAAGAAACAAATGATTCTAGAGACATGACTGAATTGAGGAGAAGCACTAGAGCAAGAAAATCGAAAGATTTTGGTCCATATTTTATTACTCATGTTTTCCTTGCTCAAGTAGATGGAGATAATAACGTAGTAAATAAATACCCTTTAGTATTAAATTTAGAAGACGATCCTAAATGTTTTAGTGATGCCATATCTTCTAGAGATGCTTCTTTTTGGAAAGAAGCTATAAATGATGAAATTGACTCAATAATGTCCAATAATACTTGGGTATTTATAGACTTACCAAAAGGATCTAAACCTATTGGGAACAAATGGGTTTTCAGGAGAAAATATCATTCCAATGGTTCTATCCAAGCTTTCAAGGCTAAACTAGCAGCCAAGGGGTATAGACAAAAGGAAGGAATAGATTATTTTGATACGTATGCTCCTGTAGCACGTATAACTTCTATTTAAATTCTTTTTGCTCTAGCTTCCATTTATGATCTTTGTGTTCATCAAATGGATGTCAAGACTGCTTTCTTGAAAGGAGATTTAAATGAGGAAATTTACATGGAACAATCAGAGGGTTTTGTTCTTCTTGGAAATGAAAGAAAAGTATATAAATTAATTAAATCTCTTTACGGGTTTAAGCAAGCACCTAAGCAGTGGCATGAGAAATTTGATTCAGTCATATTGTCTAGTGGTTTCAAACACAATAATGCTGACAAGTGTATATACTCGAAATTCACTAAAGACTATGGTGTCTTAGTGTACTTATATGTTGATGATATGCTTATTTTTTAAACAAATATGACTGGAATCATTGAGACTAAGAAGTATCTAACTTCCATGTTTAAAATGAAAGATTTAGGTGAAGTAGATACTATCTTAGGTATTAAAGTTAATAGGCATAGTGGGGGTTATTCGTTGAGCCAATGTGATTACATTGACAAAATATTAAATAAATTTAGTCATCTTGATTTCAAAGAAATGAGTACTGCTTTTGATAGCAGTATTAAATTGAATTATAATACTGGTAAAGTGGTAGCACAACTTGAATATGCGAGTGCTATAGGGTCTTTAATGTACGCGATGCATTATACTAGACCTGATATTGCTTATTCGATGTGTAAGTTGAGTAGATATACTAGTAATCCAAATATAGAACATTGAAAGGCCATTGCCATAATTTTTTGTTATCTCAAGAGAACTAAAAGTTTGGGATTGTTCTATAATAATTATCCGACTGTACTAGAAGTATACATTGATGCTGGTTGGATTACAAGTGTAGGTGATCAACATTCCACTTCTGGATGGATTTTCACCTTAGGTGGGTGCGCTGTATCTTGGGCGAGCAAGAAACAGACATGCATAACTCACTCGACAATGGAATCCGAATATGCTGCTTTAGCAACAACTTTAAAAGAGATTGAATGGATTAGGAATTTGTTGTTGGGCATCAAATTATGGCCTAGTTCTATGCCTCCTAATTCTATCCATCGTGATAGTCAGGCTACTTTGGCAAGAGCTTATAGTAGCACTTACAATGATAAGTTTAGACATATTAGTCTAAGATACGAGTACGTGAGACAGTTGATTCAGAATGGTACCATAACAATTGTCTACGTGAGGTCAAGTAATAATTTAGCTGATCTTTCTACAAAGGCTTTACCAAGAGAGATGGTAACTACTACCTAGAAAGAAATGGGGATGAAACTCTTTAATCAAAATCACCAGTAATGGTAACTCGACCTTATACTAGATTATCACCAGTTATAAGGTTTAATGGGTAAAAACAAGTTACTGAAGTGATTGTTTGATACTGATATGAGCCCGGACATGAGAAGTCAGTATCGTCTGTTACGTTTGTAGGTTGAATTAAATTCTTAATGAAGTATGATTCAAATGTGTTATTAGTAACAGAAATACATGAAAGATATTTCACCTATATGAGCTTAGAAGTGGTGCTGCTTCTCGCGAAAGTTAGGGTTGCTTTCTAGAGAGCTATAATAGTGCTAAGTAATATAGAACTTCTCGCTGAAGCAAAATATATGAGCTTAGAAGTGGTGCCGCTTCTCGCGAAAGTTAGGGTTGCTTTCTAGAGAGCTATAATAGTGCTAAGTAATATAGAACTTCTCGCTGAAGCAAAATGTTAGTATATGTGTTGTATGTCCGATTCTATTACATAGAGTATAAGTTTAACGCATAGCTACTTGTCACTTTTATAGATTTTTGATGTGCTTGCACTAAATGAAGGTTTAACTCGAAAGAGACCTTTATGTATGTATATTAATCTCATGGAAATTATGACTGTATTTTTTTTATAATCTTAGTTGGCATTTTGTTTTACAAACAAAGTGAGGGATTGTTGGTTGTTTGTTTGTAAAACAAACAAATAAGTGTATTTTTCTTTGTCCCACATAGGAAAGTTTTGAGAAAATGGGTCACTTTATATGAATAAGTGTCTTTTTGCTTGTTAAAGTGAAGACAATAGGGTGTGGGCTAGACTCTTCAATACCCGCGTGCAAGTGCGCGAATAATTGTGCGATTATTAGGTGCACTTAGCACTTGGCAAACTTGCGCGGTCGCTGACCTTAATTAGCCCTAATCCCTGTTTATTTTATTATTTTATTTATGAAATTTGGAATTAATAAAAAATATATTATTATTATTATTATTTGTTATTATTATTTTATTCCGAATTTTCATATATCTTTTTTCATCGTGACTTTTGATTTCGTACCAATTCACTATACATCTTTTCGATGAAGGGACGCCTTTGTTCGAAAGGGTGTGATTAGTGAGTCAGTTTTTGCACGGTTGAATATCAAGTCTCTTCATTCGGATTTTTAGATATTTTTTCATTCAGAAAAACTGCAGCCATTCTTTCTAATTGTTTCCTAGAGAGACCCTGAAGATATACCGAAATTGCTATTTGGTATTCTCAATCGAGACTTTGTTGTATCCTGATGAAAATTTGCCGGTGATCATTAGTAACTTCGTGGGGCAAATAATTCCTTAAAGAAAGTGATATCACGTCTCAAAGTCTGATTTCGTAGTTCATCCCGTTTGAAGTTGAAGTTTCCTTTCTTCTACAATTCGGAGGAGCATATTTTCCAACACCATTGTCACTCTGATTTGTGTAGATTATGGAGGATTTACAATGAAGCGGATGACAGGAAAATGCAGACAGAATAGCTTAGCAGATCCAAGCCGGTTGCTATTGTGACCATCTTGCTCCTCTCAAACGTCTTCACCAAAAGGATCATGACTATAACATGTCCCACTTTCGTCTTCAGTTCGTCGAGTGAACTGATTTTCATCCACTTAGGGCGCTCCTTCAAGCCAAAAGAAAGAAACATAAAAAAATACCTTTTATCTAACCCCAAAAAAAGCTGGATTTATAAATAGCAAAGCATAAGCCCAAATTAAGAAGTTAGTAATTAAGCAAGGCTATCTAAAACAAGGGAAGATTGTCTGCAGCTGCACTACCTGCTACAAGTTGATCTGTTGAAGCCTCTTAGACTGACAAATTTTCTGTGTTCAATGCTCTCAGCAAGAGCATGTAAATTGTCAAAGTCTTAGCAACAGCAGCTCATGACTATGACAAAACATTTTCTTAGTGGCAAATGCTGATATAGCAGAACAATGTCCCTTGAGTACATGAGTTCGAAGCTTACCTTTAGAGCAAACATTCCGAACAAAGAAGAGCCCTTGAGAGCACGATCAACAGAAAGTAGTACATCAGGAGATACATTAGTGATAAATAATCCATACAAGCCCATACCGAATATCAGCATGACAGTTCCAGCTAGATAAACATCTGTATCAGACATATATATTATGGGCATCAGCTTGAAATGGGGGGAAAAGAAAATTGGAAGAGGTGGGAAGAATACAGTTCAAGAAACAGACCACGCGCTTTACAGGGATGACATAAAAGTACGATGTTGGTATTTGAAACTTCATTTTTTAAGACATCGCAGCGTGATTGCAGGAACAAGTTTTTTTCTTACTCTACTTGCTGGACGGGGATTGATGTACTAGGCCATGATGATTGGAACACAGCACTCAAGATAATTTGCTAATGTCAAATTTAGTACCTTTTATCCCATCTGAGGATATATTTGATATAGAGTAGTTTAGCTAAACAGAATTAGACATACAAAGAGATGAAACACAGAAATACATAAAACAACTCTCTTACTATGGACAATGACAGCTCTTCAGTTTGATGTTTGATGAACAAATCAGATTATGGACGATACTGAAATGTAAAATCCAAGCATGGACCTAAAGATTGAGGACCTAAAGAAGTTAGAGAATTACAAGAGGACCTACATGAATGATTTCTGCCATTTCAATGGCTCACTCAAAGGAACGATATGGAGCACTAAGAGTTTACAAAAGATTTGATACAAGATCGAGCAAAATGGAGTGAAAAGGATTTCATGTAACCAAGCCTACCACATGGAATAAGGCTTAGTTATAGTAGCTGTTGTAATGGCTCACTCAAAGGAAGCTAACCATCGTGCAGCCTCTCCTCTCATAGAGATACAGTGAATGGGAGTCAACTACTTAATATCCTCAGAAACGAAGTTAATCAAGATCAACAACTACTTAATATCCTCAGAAACGAAGTTAATCAAGATCAACTATCCTTATATTATAGATTATCTGTTGTAGATGATGAATGGGTATCTCTGACGTCGAGAGGAACGCATGGAAAAAATCAATGGTATAAGTGCCAAAAGTTCAATGAGCTTGCTTGTGGTCAAGATGATGCTTGTTAAAGGCAGGAGATCAATGCATCTATCAAGTCCTTACCAATGGCTTCAACCAGTCGAAGAACCATCTGTCCAGTGTGAATTCCTTTCACGCAGCTTGACCAGTACACTTTATATGCATCAACAATGTAAACGCTACCCTACACAGATCAGAAGCAGTCATATTCTGCACCACATTGAGGAGAACAGTATCTTGGTTTGAAAAGAAAAAAAGGGATTTTCTCATTAGACAAAACTCAACATGAGACTTGAAACAAAAAACTTGGCTAGAAAAGGATCAAAGCCCGTCCTCTGGTTCAGACAGCAAGAGATTGTGTAGAAAGGGGCTTGATAAGGCCTCTCTTTAATCAGCAAAACACGAGTTAGGAAGTGAATCAAATAAATCTAGGTTGGAAGAGTGTACAAAATGGATTTATTTAGAGATGCAGTGCTAACAGTTAGGCACCAAATTAATTTGTTCCAAATCCCCAGAAATAACAACAGGAATTGTGTAGCATATAGCATCTTCAAGTGTCATGTGTTACATGAGTAAGCCTGATGAGCTGCCAGTAACTTGGTTAATCGTTGGAATACAGATAGCACGAGCAACTCAGCAATATCTAGAAATGCATCATTCGCTTCACCCCTTTTATTAGGTTGGCAGATAAAGTTCTTCCATTAAGTATCTAGTTTGCAGCATCAGTGATATTCATTTTAGCATAATATGAAAACTATCGCTGAAAAATTGTATTAGGATTTGGTAATTCGTGATTTTGAGGTTCAAAACCTCAAGCTAACCTGGGCATTAAAAGTATCAGGAGGGCTTACATTTAGGAAGCACAAAACCGAACCAGCCAATGAACCTCCAATAGCCAAAAGCGCTAAGAAGCGGAAGTCAAAGATCACCTGCACAGCAAAGGAGGACTACTCTTTGAACATAGATGCACTAATAAAGGCAATCAATACAAAAGTATACACTGGCTATGAAATCAGAAATAAAGAGCCACATCCAATAAAGCGTTAGAATCAAGCGCAGCTCATTACAAGTCCATAGCATAGCAATAGCTTTGGCAGTTGATAATACATCCTTCATTTCATCAGGACCCTCGAGTAATTAAGCATATATACTCAGTAAGTAAAACAGGTTCTCAAACATTCAAAATCAACAAACCCAAATCACGAAGCTCTTTCTAATTCTCTGTAGCTGAGAAATAAACAAACTCCGTACAACTGCAGAGCAATAATTGATCAAAGAAAGAGCAAACAATCGAGGGAATAGACAAGCTTGAGGGGGAGTGTGGTCGTGAGCTATTTTTTGGCAAAAGTACACTAGAAGTGCCATAACTTGTGTACGGCGATCACTTTGGTGCCATAAATTTTTTTCGGATCATTTTGGTGACAACTTTTTTGAAAATCGATCACTTTAGTGCCAATGCTGACGTGGCTCGCCGGAAATCCGATGTGGCGCTGACACGGCTCGCCGGAGAGGTCCACGGCTCGCCGGAGAGGTTCAGTCAGCATTAAAAACCAAAAACGACGCCGTTTAGCCCGCTGACGTGTACTTTTTAAAAAAAAAATTAAATTATATTTAAAAAAAAAAAAAAAACCTGCAACAGCAGCGAGGGAGCCCTCGCCGCTGTTGCCGCCAACCCACCACCACCGGGAATGGCCGGCGGTGGTGGGCGCAGTGGTCGGCCGAGGGTCGCCGGCCCCCGGCCGGGCCCGGCGACCCTCGCCGAGCCTAGCGAGGGCCGGATCCGGCGAGGCGCGAGACCTCGCGTCGCGACCCGTGCGACGGCGAGGTCCGCCTCGCTCGCCGGGCGAGGCGAGACCTCGCCGTCGCTGGGTCGCGACGGCGAGGCGCGGCCTCGCCTTCGCCGGGCGAGGCGAGACCTCGCCGTCGCCCGGGTCGCGACGGCTAGGTCTCGCTCGCCGGCGAAGGCGAGGCCGACCTCGCCGTCGCGACCAGGCGACGGCGAGGTCTCGCTCGCCTCGCCGGGCGAGGCGAGACCTCGCCGTCGCCCGGGTCGCGACGGCGAGGCGCGGCCTCGCCTCGGCCGGGCTAGGCGAGACCTTGCCGTCGCGACCCAGGCGACGGCTAGGTCTCGCTCGCCATGCCGAAGGCGAGGCCGACCTCGCCGCCGCGACCCAGCGACGGCGAGGTCTCGCTCGCCCAGCCAAGGCGAGGCCGACCTTGCCGTCGCCCGGGTCGCGACGGCAAGGTCTCGCCTCACCGGATCCGGCCCTCGCCGGGCTCGGCGAGGGTCGCTGGGCCCCTACCAAGGGCCGGCGACCCTCGCCGACCACTGCGCCCACCACTGCTGGCCCTTCCCGGCGGTGGTGGGTTGGCGGCAGCAACGGCGAGGGCTCCCTCGCCGCTGCTGCAACTTTTTTTTAAAAAAAAAATTAAAAAATTCGAAAAAAAGCCACGTAATTTCCACCGTGTACAAGTCAGACCATTTTTTTTAATATAAATGTCAGGTCAGCTTTTTGGCCGGAATTTTGGCCGGAGTCACTAAAGTGATCGATTTTCCTCCGACTTGACACCAAAGTGATCCGAAAAAAAGTTATGGCACAAAAGTGATCGCCGTACACAAGTTATGGCACTTCTAGTGTACTTTTGCCTATTTTAGCCTATTTGTTAGGCATTTTTATTATATAGATTTCTTCTTAGTATAGAATCCTTTCTATTGTATATCTCCTAATTAGGGTTGTCATATGTCCTATATATATAACAGGATTGAGCATTGTAAATGTACAAAAAAAAATATTAAATTTTTTTTGGGCTCGCTTTCTTTCTCTATTGCGCCATCCGACGTGCGTCTTACCTGATCTTCTTCATCGTTCGACGTGCGTCTTACCCGATCTTCTTCATCGCAATTCAGTTTGCGAAGCTAATCTCATGGCTGACAAACAGCCTAGTGTTGCAACTGATCAAGCGGATGCTAGTGCCTCTGCTACTGCCATTCTGGCAGACCTGACCGTTGCGATGAAGCAACTCTTGACCCAGCAGGCCACGCCGCCGCGCGTTGAACCTCCGGTTGCACCGATTGCTGTCAAGCTTGATGGCAAAAATTATGGCGTATGGTCCCAGGTTGTTGAGATGTATGTCTCGGGCAAAGACAAACTGGGCTATTTGAATGGTGATTCTCTTGAGCCCCCTCCTACTGATCCGTTTTTTAGACAATGGAAGACCGATAATTCTACGGTGAAAGGTTGGCTTATCAATTCTATAGACCCAGCCTTGATACCAAACTTTATTCGGTTTCCTACTGCCAGAGCCGTATGGGATGCTGTGGCAACGACCTTTTTTTATGGATATGACATCTCCCAAATCTATGACGTTAAGAGGCAGGTTTCTTGATTGAAGCAAGGCGGTGGACCCATCGAGAAATATTACAATGATCTTCAAGGGCTCTGGCGTGAGATTGATTTCCGCCGTCCTAATCCTATGCAATGTTCGGCCGATATTCTAAGGTACAATGCCATTGTCCATGAAGATCGAGTTTATACTTTTTTGGATGGTCTCGATGACCGCCTGGAAAATGTTCGTGCTGATGTTCTGAAGATGGATCCATTTCCCACTATTGAGCAAGCTTATGCCCAAGTCAGGCGAGAGAATATGCGCCAATCTGTCATGCTCTCCACTCCTGTCGAGGTCACCTTTGGTTCTGCCATGGTGTCACAGCGGGGCAAGAGTAATCAGTTAGTGCTTTTTGCTTGGGGACCTCGCCCTAAACCTGGTATGCCAATTCAATCCGAGGGATGCTCTCACTGTGGGAATCCTAAACATACAGCAGCATCTTGTTTTAAACTACATGGTTATCCGGAATGGTGGGATGATTTTCAGACCAAGAAGAAGAAACCAAGCTCCCAAAAGGGGCGGAATGGAGGGCAGCCTCCTTAGTGACTAGAGGCTTGTCATTAATTCCCATGGAGCCTGAATCTGCTAATGCCGAATCTCTTGAAGGTAATTGTGGGTTTGTCTTTGCTAATGGACATGGTGATGGTCATCATGGGTGGATAATTGATTCTAGCGCTACAGATCATATGACTCCGGAATCTGGTGACCTTCTTACATCTACCACACCACGTTGAGATCATATTTACAATGCTAATGGACATAGCTTTCCTGTGACGGCTGCTGGGCGTGTGTCTGTCACGCCTTCTCTCTCTCTATCTCATACATTGCTTGTTCCTTCATTGTCTAATCGTCTGTTATCGGTTGGACAGCTTACTAGTGAATTGAACTGTGTTGTGCTTATGTACCCTGATTTTTGCCTATTTCAGGATATTCTCACATAGGAGATAATTGGGCGTGGTACTAAGAGGGAGAGGCTGTATTTCGTGGATGAAATTACTTCTGGACGGACCTATCATTCTCGTGGACAGTTAGCTCAAGAGAAGGAACTTTGTTTATGGCACCGTCGGTTAGGTCACCCATCCTTTGGGTATTTACGGTATTTGTTTCCCAAGTTATTTCATGGTCTATCGAACTCTAGTTTTCAGTGTGATACATGTATTTTGGCAAAGAGCCATCGCACTTGTTTTCCTCCCAGTTTGAATATAAGTTCTACTCCTTTTTCCTTAATTCATTCTGATGTATGGGGTGCGTTTCCTATTACTACTGTATCTGGGTTTCGATGGTTTATCATCTTTGTTGATGATTGCACACGTATGACTTGGCTATATTTGATGAAACATAAGAATGAGGCTGAAGCTATCTTTCGGACTTTCCACCGTATGATTCAGACTCAGTTTGGGGTCAAACTTCAGGTTCTCAGGTCTGATAATGGTGGCGAATACTTAAGTAAACCTCTTGTAGCTTATTTTCAAGAACATGGTTTGATACATGAAACTTCTTGCCCTCAGACTCCTCAGCAGAATGGTGTTGCTGAGCGCAAGAATCGCCATCTTCTTGAAACCACTCGAGCACTCTTGGAGGGTAGCCATGTTCCCCATCGTTTTTGGGATTCTGCTGTAGTCATAGCTACTTATTTGTTGAATCGCATGCCTTCCTGCATTCTGAGCTATCGCACGCCAATGCAAGCACTTGCTGCCCATGTGTCTCTTCCTTCGGTTCTTACATTGCCTCCTAAGGTGTTTGGGTGTGTCGCTTATGTCCATCTTCACAAAAATCAGCGAACCAAACTTGACCCTTGTGCAGTCAAATGTGTGTTTCTTGGTTATGGCCCTTCTCAGAAAGGGTATCGGTGTTATGATCTTGCCGGGAAGCGCACGTATGTCACCATGGATGTAACATTTATCGAGACGGAGTCCTATTTTCCTTCCCCCCAGTGTCCTGTTCAGGGGGAGACTAGTTGTAGAACCAGACATTGGTGGGAGGTAGGAATTGCAGGAGCGACGGATGGGTGCGCATGGCCACGTGATTCTGAGGCTGCTGAGGCTGAAGATTTTGAGCTACTGCCACATGATTATGAGGATGCACAACCAGACAACACTGAATTACTGCATGGGTCCGAACAGGTGTCAACAGATGCACATCTGCAACAGCCCTCCTTGTCTTCGCCCTCTTCGCCCTCTTCAATACCACTCCAAGCTCCTGAGAATGTACCTGAGGTAAGTACTTCTACTGTACTTGATTCTTTTGAAGATACTGATGTGCTTATTGGTTATAAGCTACCCGATAGGCATAATAGGGGTAAACCACCGAATCGATATTCTCCAGATGTAGAGGACCGCCGGTCTCGATACCCTATTGCAGACTATGTGTCTACCAAGAGGCTGTCCACACCACTACAAGCCTTTGTGTTTACGATTTCCTCAGTTCAAGTTCCAAACAAGGTTGAAGAAGCCATGAAGGATCCGAAATGGCTTCAAGCGATGGAGGCAGAGATGGAGGCGTTGGAGAAAAATCAAACTTGGAAACTTGTGGAACTACCAAAGGATAAAAAGCCGGTTGGATGTAGGTGGGTGTTCACAGTCAAACATAAGGCAGACGGCACTATTGAGAGGTATAAGGCGCGACTGGTAGCTAAAGGGTATACACAGACTTATGGGGTGGATTATTAGGAAATATTCTCTCCAGTTGCAAAGTTAGACACTATAAGAGTGTTGTTATCCCT